TCATCACCACCACCATCACTGTCACCATCATCACCATCAGCATCCATCATCCATTACCATCATCATCGCCATCATCACCATAATCATCCTCACCACCATTATCAATGCCACCATCAGTACCATCATTATCACCATTGACATCACCATCATGAGCACCATCAGTGAGGAAAATGACCAAAGCACATCAAGAGCTCTGACACAGTCATCCAGTTAATAAACATCAGAGGCAGGGCTAGAAAAGGGGACAGTCTCTTTTCTTTACTCCTAGTCCAGTGCTCATTCCAGCGGACTCCAGACACGCCCTCACCATGCCTATTCTGGCAGCTGGCACTGAGAACACAGCCCAGTGCAGATGGACCCTCACCTGGCTCCCAGGAGGCTGGACCCATTCCGGAGCCCATTGTTCTTGCTGGGTTGGCCACCTGCCTGCTTGCCCTCCAGTTTCCTCCAGCAAGTCTGTGCTCTCCAGACTCAGTTTGAAATTCATTTATGAAAGTGACAGGTCATGTTTTGTTGTTTTGTTTTTTGTACTTAAACTGATAAAGATGCATAAATATTGGACTATTCCACTTAGATTAATTTTGACCAGTGTCTTAAAAGGGGAGGTAAATAATCATTATGTGTTTTATGTGACTTTATTGGTGGTAACTAACTTAGATACATGGCTATTCATGCACTGTAAGTATGAATAGCAATGAAGTAGGGCTGTTAAGGGGCATGCCCATTTTTATGTCTAGTGATACATAGTTTCCAATTGCTTTGCACAGCTTTGGCCAATTTACTTTGCAGCCATTAACACACAAATTCATCCATTGTGCAGCAATCTTGCCAGCATTTTATTTTACCATTCTTCTAAAATGTAGCATGTACTTGGCTAAGTGGTATCTAAATGTTGACCTTAACTTGCCTTTCCTAGGTGACTCATGACATTTCGAATTTTCTGAATATGTCTCTTGCCCATGGACTGACAAGTAATTAATTGCCTTTGTTGACCCAGGTCAAAGGAGGAGTTGTTTCTGAGCCTGGGGCCCGACTGGTTCCTGCTGTTCCTGCAGGGCCACCTGCACCCCTGCACCACTGTGCTGGCACTGAAGCTGCTGCTGTGCTTTCTGTCAAGCCCTGCCCTCCGCGAGCGATTTAAAGATGGCCTGTCCGCGGGGCGCTGGGTGGAACGCAGCACCGAGGGCGTGGATGTTGTGATAGGTGAGCGTGCTGCCGTCTTCAGGAAGTGGGAACCCCTTGTCCTGGGCGTGAGTGAGGACCGAGCCAGGCCCTCCCCAGTGGAACCTTCCCAGCTCTGAGTAGTAGCGTCACCTTGACCCTGACTCTAAGTCTGACACCCAAAAGCCCAGTCCCCTCTAACTTCCTTTATGGGATCCTTCCCACCCCCCTTGCAGCCTCACTGCATCTAGCCCCAGAAGACTGCCTTCTGCTCCTCACAGGCTCCTAGCTCTGTCCCCGGGACACTCGCCACGCTGCTTCCTCTTCCTGGGATGCCTCTTCCGGCTGCTGTGGCTTCACCCTTTGGGGCTCAGTTCAAATGCCACTTCCTCTGGGAAAGAAAAGGCCACCTGAATTAGGGTGCCTCTGTTATATTCTCTTTGCCCACATTATTTAAGTCTGTAGTGCTCATCACAATTCCTAAGCATATATTTATTTGGTTATTTAATTGCTTAATGTCTGTCCCTCCCACTACATTGTAAGCTTCACGAGTGCCTGGAATTCTGTGTATTTTGTTGGAACCCTATGTCCTTGTTGCCTAATGCAAAATGGCCTTGTTGCCTCCTACGTAGCAGGCACTAAGAAAG